ATTTGTGTACTTGTCTTATCTCCCACACCAGAGCGTGAGCTCCTCAGGGGAGGAGCCTGCCGCAGACGGTTCACCTTTGAATCCCCCTTGAGCGGACTGACTCTGGTGCCCGCCCGCAGTCAGCTCTCCGGCAGGTTCAAGCGAACTCAGGAACACTCCGACTACACTATTCCTAACCAGAAATCGGTTAGGCGTTTTTCCGAACTGGTGGCCGCAGAGATGGTTTCTGCCTCCTGGGAACAGGAAGTTTACCGGGGACCAGAGCCCAGGGTGCAGTGGAGGGACAGTCGGCCCGGCCCGCACTTCCCTGCCCTCCCAATGCTGGCCGGGGACACCCCACACCACCAGCCCTGCCAGAGAACTGTGGAGGGAGTGGGAGGGGAGGCCGGCCCGCAGGCCCCGGGAAGCCCCGCGTTGGGGCAAGCAAGTGGGAAGGCTCAGTGAGGAGTCGAGCCGGGCGAGGAGGACAGGCCTGGCCGAGCCGGGGCAGAGCCACCACCACCCGAGAAAATGGAGGCAGCCCCGGGGCCGGTGAGTGGCCCGGTGGGGCAGGCAGAAGCTGGGCAGGCATTTGCCCCGCAAGCAGGGCCAGGCCGGGGGTCATTCACGGGGCTGGGCCAGCCGGGCAGCTCCCTCTCTGCCTCTGCGTCGTCGCCATCCCCATCCTCGGCCGCCGCCGCCTCGGGCTGCTCACTCAGTCCCACGGCGCGGTTCGGGCGCTCCCGGGAATCTTCTTTTATGCCAGCCCAAAACCTCGAATCTTGAATAGGGCAGCTGGCCACCTTTAGCGTGGCCCCTGCCTCCAGGATCTTGGCAGCATCGACAGCAGCCCCGGCACCCTGTTCCCTGTTTAGAAACTCGCTTTTGCAGCTAAGAAACAGTTCTTTTCCTGCTCCACACTTCAAAGCTGTTGCCTGCTGTAAACGAGGCAGCCTCTCCTGCCAAGGGCAAAGTGGCGGTCAGCCCCCACGACCAGCCACCAGCAGCGGTCCTCCCTTAAGAGACAGCAAGAGGAAGGTCCACAAGCTTCCCGGCTGGCTAAGGCCCAGTGGCCGCCTTCTCCACCTCAGCTACTCAGCGCCAACCGCCGCAGCCACCGCCATCTTGAAAAGCCCTGGATCAATCATTTCAAAGTTACTTTTCTTGAAAACGTCCATTACCCCGAGACAGCATTTCTCCAGAAGGAAACTCCGTGCTGAGGCTCATGGCCACTCGTCGCCTCTCTCAAGGCCGCATGGTGGGTTGGTTCTTCTTATGTGGTGGGCCCTACATTGGGCACCAGCTTCTGCGGGGACACGCCTGGGGTCCTCCCGCAGACCCAGAAGGAGAAGGAGCCAACAGCATTACCCCAGTGTTGGGACTGAGGGATCTCGAGGAAAAGTGAGCCTGCTGCCCGCCAACCCAGCCCCGTGAAAGAGACACTCAGACGTGGCCTATTGTTCCATTTTATAAAAAATCATTTTTCAGATGAGAAAGTTGAAGCATTGAGAGATCTAGCAACTTGCTAAAGGTCAAACAGCTAGAAAATGATGGAACGAGGAGTCTAAGTGAGGCTGACAACTCCTGAAGCTGAACAATTCCCAAGTGCAATTCTTCTGAGTCAAAGACCCTTATAAACAGAACAAGGCACAATGCAAGAAAATATAATAAAAAATATAAAACATAAACAATAATATTAATACATGCAGAGGGAAAACAGTGGAAGAGCATGTTCCACTGTAATACTCCAAATGGAGGTATATTTAAGAGTAATTAGTCTACTTAATTACATATTTCCATGATGTATGACTTTAATTTAATTCTGCATTAAGTTCATCATTTTTAAAAACAGTTTATGGTGGTCCGGCCCGGTGGTGCACTGCTACAGTGCGCCGCTTGGGAGTGTGGCGGCGCTCCCGCGGAGGGTTCGGATCCCACATATAGACCGGTCCCCGCTCACTGGCTGAGCGAGGTGCGGGTGCAGCACCAAGGTTTGCGATCCCGTTGCCGGTCCCGGTCCGGTATGGGCGTGACACTGAGGGTTGCGATCCGTTGCCGGACACGAAAAAAGACAAAAAGGAAAAAAAAAAAAAAAAAAAAAAAAACAGTTTATGGTTATCATCAAAAAGACAAAGAATAACAAAGGCTGGCAAGGACACAGAGAAAGGGGAACCCCTCCTACACTGTTGACGGGACCATAAATTGGTGTAGCCATTATGGAAAACAGTATGAAGGTTCCTCAAACAACTACAGATAGAACTGCCATAGGATCCAGCAATCCCACTACTGGGTGTATACCCCAAGGAATGGAAATCACTATGTGGAAGGGACACCTGCACTCCCATGTTTATCACAGGTCTATTTACAATGGCCAGAAATTGGAAACAATCTAAATATCTGTTGATGAACAGACAACTGGATAAGGAAAATGTGGCATATGAACACAATGGAATACTACTTTGCCAGAAAAAAAAATGAAATACTGCCATTCACAGCAACATGGATGAATTTAGAGAAAATCATGTTAAGTGAAATAAGGCAGGCACAGGAAGAGAAATATCACATCATCAGTCATAAGTGGGAGGTAAACAATAAGTAAAGAAAAAAAAAGAAAGATACAGCAATCACAATAATATGTTGAACTTTCAAAAGGAGAGAATAGAACTGAGGTTACCAAAGGTGGGAAAGGCAAAAGGGAAGGGGGAGAAAGGGAGGAATTGGTAAAGGAACATGAAAAATGATTACATTGTATAATGTTGAATGTACTAATGATCCTGATTTGAGCATCCCACATTGCACACATGTATTGATATTCAACTCTGTGCCCCATGGATATGTACAATCTACTATGTTCCAACAAAGATAAATAAGAACAATAAAAAAGCCGAGTCAACAACAACTGTGCCAGGCTCCGTCAGACTGTCTGAGATGAGAGTCAAGCTTTGCCAGTGGCTTCATCGTGGGCAAGTTACTTAACTCTCTAAGGCTCTTTCCTTATCTGTAGAATGGGATGACCACAATAGTACCCATTCTTACAGAGCTGTAGTGAGGACTGAGACAAATAATCAATGGGAGGTAATCAATGGTAAATGTGAAATCATATATAAATATACGCTCATACAAATAAATTAAACATGTAGAAATCTAGATTCCCTAAGTTCACAGTGGGAACATTAGGAGGGCTTGTTAAAACACAGATTGCAGGGCCCCATCCCCAGTGTTTCCGATTTAGTAGTTCTGGTAAGATTTGAGGATCTACATTTCTAACAAGTTTGCAGGTGACGCTGATGCTACCTAGGGACAACAGTCAGAGAACTACTCCTCTAAGACAGTGGTTTTCACCCCAGATGAGCAAGAGATCACCTGCAGAGCTTTTGAAAACTATACATACCAAGCCCACCCTGGAGATTCTGATTAAGTAGGGAGGTCTGCATTGGATCCCAAGAATCTTTGCTGGTGTTTTTTGCCCTTCTATTTTTGTCTCTAAAGCTCCACAGATGAATCTAGTACAGGACTGGGTAGGATGCCTCAGTCCTAAATAATATATATAGCATAAAATTTGCACGCTAATGTGCAAAGTTAGTGCTGGATGCTTATACCTCATCAAAGTCTTCTCCCTGAACCACATTATTGAGCACTGGTAGAATACTCACCCTGACACTCTTCCAATGCCTGTAATAATGCCACCCGCGGGGACCTCCTCATTGCCATATAACTGGTAACCTGCAAACTGAGATAATTCCAGAAATGGAGACCTAAAGGGAAGAAAGGACGTTGCTTGAATTAATGTCATTTAATACACACACACACACACACACACGGGACCTCCTCATTGCCATATAACTGGTAACCTGCAAACTGAGATAATTCCAGAAATGGAGATCTAAAGGGAAGAAAGGACGTTGCTTGAATTAATGTCATTTAATACACACACACACACACACATTTAAACAGTTACACAGGAAAAGGGAAAGATTTTTCTTTAATGGGACAATGTTTCAAATATGCATGTTATATATAAAATCTACAAAAAGATCTAGAGACCCCCTTACCAGACAACCGCCCCCCCCAAAAAAATCTATAAAAAGAATATCTAAGGACTGGCTGGTTGGCATAGCTGGTTAGAGCACAGCTTTGTAACACCAAGGTCAAGAGTTTGGATCCTTGTATCAGCCAGCCACTCCAAAAAAAGAAAAAAGAAAAAAAAAGAATATCTAAAACAAAAACAAAATCCATTGTGAATATTTTAAGGATTTATATGGTACAGCCATAAAACAGAACAGCAGGTACTTATTTTTAAAGTACACATGTGTTTATTGATATGGAAAGAGAATAACAGCTAACATTTATGTAGCACTTACCATGCACCTGGCTCTCTTCTCACGGCTTCAGAAACACTAACTCATTCACTAACTCATTTACTCCTCAGAACCACCTTCTGAGGTGGATCCTATTATGAACCCCATTTACTGATGAGGAAACTGAAACACACAGAGATGAAGTCGCTTGTCTAAAGTCACACAACTAATAAGTGGCAGAGCTGAGGTTTTAAGAAGCAGTCTGGTCCCAGGGTCTAGGCTCTTAACCGCGGTATTGTTCTACCTCTCACTTACATGTTCGAGATACATTAAGTGGGGAAAAAGGGAGTTCTAAAGCACATTTTGTATGATGCCATCTTTTTTTAAAAAAAGTAGGTGTTATACATATACACATAAAAATGGTCTGGAAGGACATACACTGGGTCTTAACAGTGTTTGTCTTCTCCAGGTTGGGTGTGCATGTGCATGTCATAAGAAAAAATACTTTTGGAGTCTTCATTTACTCCTCTCTCCCCCTCTCACCCCATATCCAAGCCTTCAGGAAATGCTATTGGGTTGGCTCTGTCTTCACAATATATGCAGAACCTGACACTCCCACCACCTCCACTGCTACCACCCTAGTCCAAGTCCCCATCATGTCTCCTTTCAGTCACTGCAATAGCTCTCTCACTGGTCGCAGTGCTTCCATACCTGACGCCCACAGTCTACTCACACCACAGCGGCTATAATATTTTTTTTTTAAATATAAATCAGACAGATCATAATAGTCTCCTGTTCAAAACCCTACAATAGCTCCCCACTCCTCTCAGGGTAAAAACCAAAACTCTTACAACAGCCTACAAGGCTGTACAGAATCTGACCCCATCTCCTACTACTATCCCCTTCACTCCCTCTACCCCAGCCACGCTGCCTTCTGGCTACTCCTTCAGTCTATCAGCATACCCGGCAGACTCCCACTTCAGGGCCTTTGCACTGGCTATTCCCTCTGCCTGCCACACCCCTTCCCCAGATATTTATAGGGCTCTCTCTCTTCCCTCCTCCAAATCTTTGCTCAAATGTCACCATCTCAATGAGGCCTATGCTAACCATCCCACTTAAAACTGCCACTTGCCCCTTATCTTCTTTTCCTGACCCGGATCTACCTTCTCTTTTTCCCAAGACATTTATCACTCTCTAATACACTATATAATTTACAATATTCATTGTTTATTTTCTATCTCCCCCTGCCACAGTATAAACTCCAGTAGGGCAAAGGTCTTTCCCTATTTTGTTCATTGCTATATCACTAGTGCCTGGAACAGTGCCACATAGGAGGCACTCAATAAACATTTGTTGTTGAATCTTATGATAACCACCAGAATCCAAAATCAGTTATTTACAAAACTGTCTAACAAACTACCAGGAATAGAAAACACCAAGTCAGCACTTGGGTATGTACCAACCCTGGGTCTATAAGATTGTCGATTCTTTCCCTTGGTAATAGTTTTCCTCTTGATGTGTGCCGGGCTCGGGCTTTCTCACCACCTCCTGTGATAAAAACATGATCAGAGCAGATTAGACTGACATGAGATAAGGTCTCCATTTAACTTAATGCCAGAAAAACATATAATACTTAATTCAAAATATAGCACTTTAAAAAGTTCAACATATCCTGTGAGAAAAAGCCAATTTTTCAGATCATTCATTCAATTTATAAGCTGCCAATTTCTAAAGTAAAGAAACTGGTGTTTTTTAAAAATCAATCTATCCCTGATCCTAGAGTATATCACTCATGTTCTGAATTCACTAGTAATTACTTAAACAAAGTACACAGTATTTTTTCTGCAACACATACATTGAAAATACTGCCTCATCTTTATATTTATTAAGTACTTACTGCATTTATCTAGCACTGTATTACATACTACGTAAAATCTGAAAAATTCCTATCTTCATTTGTACCAGTTAAAAGCATAATTTTAGAAATTACTTCCATGATAAGCACAGTAAAACTTACCTAAAGGTACCATTAGGACCCATAACTTTTTAGGCCTGTAAATAGGAGAGCTGAATACCTTATATAGCAATTAAAGTGTCTCTTTATGTTAGCATCTTGACCCAGAGATTATCTTCAGTGTTTCCCAACATTGCTCACATCATGACAGACGAAGAAAATTACAATTATTGAAGAGCCCACTGAGGTAACCCAAAGAGACTGCTTGAAGTCAAAGGGGCACCAAACCTCACCCATCCAACCTGAGGGCTGAGGGACTCGTTATCTTGGGGCTATTTAACCCACTCTCAGCAAACCAAGGTAAGGGAGCAAGAACAGAAGTGTCAAACTGTACCTTAATATGTTTATTCTTATCACTGCCTAAGAATTTCTTCTTAATATAGTCTTTGGATGAAATGTTCAGCTTTTAAGAAAGCCAATTTCTTTATTTAGGTGAAAAAATAGGTTCATATCTATTTCAAACAAGCTTCTAACTATGACTTTATTTTTCAAACCAGGGCTCTTTGCTGTACCTAAGGGGATTTCTTTTTCTTAAGAGGTACATGGCATATTTTTAAGATTAAATCTGCCTTAAGGTTGCAAAGAAAATTATATCACACATCTAATCTTCTTTAAAATTAAAGTAATTCTGGGGCCGGCCCAGTGGCGCACTGGATAGTGCGCCGCTTGGGAAGCGCAGCGGCGCTCCCGCCCGAGGGTTCGGATCCCACATACAGACCGGTTCCCGCTCACTGGCTGAG